TCTCTCTCTCTCTCTCTCTGCCCCTCCTCTGTTCACACTCGGTGTGTGTGTGTGTGTGTGTCTCTCTCAAAAAATAAATACACAATAAAAATAATAAAAATAAATAAAATGTCAAGAGTCATGCAAAGAGAGTCACGATGAACAGATGATCAAAATGTTGAATCATGACAGTACTGGACCCTGTGCTTGTACGACTCACCTCACTCCCGTCCCCTGTTTCTGGCCCTGCTCCCTCAGGGTCTGGAGTGCTCCAGCCAACACCTTCCCCTCTCTGACAGGGAGAAGCCCAGGGGGCACATTACCAAAGGCTCCGGGGCCAGCCCCCTCGGCAGCCTCAAGCTGCCACCCACCCACCCGCGAGGCAGCGGCGTGCCAGGCCCCGTGAGACGCAGAAGACACACAGAAGTGGACGACGATGTGCCAGCCTTCGGTGCTCCCCACACAGTCATCCCGAACTAAACCTGCATTGTCACTAATGCCACAGCAGCTCCACCAGGGGGCATTGTTGTCCCACTTTCCAGATCAGGAGACTGAGGCTCAGGAGGAACAAAGACTCGCCCTGGATCACACACAGCCGGACTCAAACTCAGGTCTGTTTGGATCCAAGCCCTCTGCTCTTTCTTACGCTTCTCTCTCCTTGCCCCAGTCCCTTTGCTCTTCTCTCTCTCCTTCCCAATCATTCTATCTGCCATCTTTTCCCCCAGCCAGGGAACTTGCCTTTTCCTCTCCTTGGAAAACCTGTTCTCCTAGCCCACCTACGGTTGGCCTGGCAAACTCCTATTCATCCTTCAAAAGCCAGCTTGGGCATGTCCTCAGGCTGCCTTCCTGACTCCTCAAGGCTATGTAAGATGTCTCTCCCCTGGGCTGTCAGGACCTGTGGCACAGAGACTTTCCTTGTCCAGACTTTTGTTAGGAGTGTCCTCAGACCGGGTTTGGTGGGTAGGTGGGTGGATGGGTGGGCTTCTCCCCACTGCCTCCTGCAAAGCCAATGGTGAGCATGGCCCCAGGCATCTATGTGGTCTCAGGCAGCCTATGAGACACTGTCCCAGCTGGTTGGCCTGAAGGGGCCACGAGGGAACACGGCCCCCTTCATGGACTCTACACAAGTCCCCCAGGAGGGCACCGTCTGGCTCAGTTGGTAAAGCATGTGCCTCTTGATCTCGGGGTTGTGAGTTCAAGCCCCAGGTTGGGCGTGGAGATTACTTTAAAATAAACAAACAAACAAACAAATAAATAAAAAGATGGATGGAGATGTTAATAGATGTGCTTAAAAAGAACAGGTCCCCAAGGATAGTATTGCCACATAAAATACAAGGCACTCAGTTATATTTCAATCTCAGATAAACCCCAAGTATTTTTTTTAGGATAAGTATATTCCAAAGCATCATAATATTTGACACTCAAATCTAACTGGGTGTCCTCTGATTTGGTTTCCTCAGTCTTGCAACCCTAACTCTGGACCATTTGGTCAGGCAGGGCCAGTCCTCTACCAGGAGAGGGAGAGCAGGGGGGCCCCTGCTATTGCCTGGTTTGGGGTATTTTCGGGGAAGCTTCCAATTCAAAATTGAAAGTACCTGGAAAGAGGAGCTTTGCAGGGTCTGGCTTTTCCCGCCGACCTCGCCTGCCTGGAGCTCTCCACGGTTTTTACCCCTTCCTCCTTCTTTTTCTTGTGGTAAGGTAGACATGACGTAAAATTTGCCATTGTCATCATTTTTAAGCGTGCAGCTCGGTGACACTAAGGTACCGGGTAGCTTCTAATCTGCTGCCTGTCTATGAATCTGCCTAGCCTGGGGACCTCAAGTAAGTGGAATCGTACAATATTTGTCCTTTCGTGTCTGGTTTATTTCACTTAGCCTAATGTTTTCAAGTGTATCCGTATTCTAGCATGTATCAGAATTTCATTCCTTTTTAAGGCTGAATAACATTCTGTTGTCTGGGGCACCTGGGTGGCTCAGTCAGTTAAACATTCAGCTCTTGGTTTCGGCTCAGGTCGTGATCTCACGGTTCGTGAGTTCGAGCCCCTGTGTCGGGCCCTGGGCCGACAGTGTGGAGCCTGCTTGG